TTACCTTATGTGCTTCTTTAAATCAGGTCTCAAAATTTTCCCGACTGGTAAATCGTCGCGATAACATAATAATATCATTGGAGATTCGTCCTATATCATGCATCATTACGATGGTATCGCTTTCGCTACTTGCATGATGGGCATTACCAGACATAGTGTGGCCGAAGTCAAATCAAATCTAAAATTGTCTGGATTTGACCGCTTCTGCAAAATCTTACTCATTGCCGAGGTGATGCCCTAATCGTTTTACGGCATTTTGATCTTCAACTGCTCAGTAACCTCAGTCAGCGGACGATATCACTTAAGCGTTACCGTGATCACATGGTTAGTTCTAGTGAATTTCGTTACCACACCATGATTGTTTATCTACCAGTCTATAAAATTTACAAAGGATGAGTATCAACATACATAATTATATCATTCTGACAAATTTTCATTTCACATTATTCTGAAAAATGTGGTTTAAACTACTTTTATGTCAATACACATTGACCAAAATCATTATCAGACCAATGTATTCTTGCTTTGTAAATTTTAATAGAGTAGGTTTAAGAAAACTTAATTCACATTTTATGGTAACAAAAGTGATTGATTCCGAGAAAAAATGATATTCAGTCAAAATCAATGTTTGTTACCGCGGTGACAAACATTTGTTAAATAGTTAGTAACCCTTATTGAAGTATTTGATTAACTATGTGAACAGTTATGAAAAATTGCATGCATGTTTGTTAGGTCACTAGATATCTACTAAACACGCACGAATTTTAATAACAAGAGTAGGAAAGCTTTGTAATTCCACTGTTTCAGTAGTCATCTGGAGACAGATAAGACTAAAATTACTTTTTATCGGTGGTTGAGTTCAAAATGGTGGCACTTCTAATTGAACTAGAGTATAGTGACCACTCGGTCACTACCAAAAGGCTGAAATATGGACTAGGAATACGAATTGACTGAAATTTTTACCCTATTCGCATTCTTGGTTTAGGAAAATTTTAAAGTGAGCAGCCTTAGAAATGTACATATTCAATGGATCCATAAATCTTCGTAGACCGTATCTCAATGAAAAAAAGCTCTGATCATCACTATCAATTATTAGATCTGAATTATTACATTTACCATACATACGTGTGTTAAATTAGCTGCTTTGGATGTCACATACACATACCCTTCATTTTAATCGCTTCTTGCTCATTCACTCCTCCCATCCGCTTGCTATTCTCTTCCTAATTGTTCTTATAGTTGTCTAATTTTGTCATCATTCTGATATGATGTGTGATATCTTGAATCAATACTAGGTTCCATTTTACTTTAACTGGGCATACCATTAGAATTTTAACAAACATAAGACTCAGTGCTTTATATATCACTGAAACTGCAAAATAGTGGTCACCTAACCAACCATTATGAGTCGGTATTTCCAAATTGCTTTAATGGAGCCACTTTACAGAACATTAGTTAATTCGTTTGAAGGTATTTTGTTACATAACCGGGAACTCGTTTTCGTCCCACTCTTTTTTTTCAGGATCACTCAATCACGGTTAATGGTGAAAGGAGGACCCCATCGGTCATTTTGATGGACTTTTTTAATGTGATTCCATTCAGAGATCGGACCAGCGTTTCTTCAACTTTGACCGAAATCCGCAACAGCCTGGATGATGTAATTCCAAATACTAATCCTATAGCACCATTTATTAACAAAGTCAGGCAGTTACAGTTAGTTTTCATGAGGATTCCCATGGTATTAAGAAAACAAATCAAATCCTTATTACTGGAAGGCTTAGAAGCTTCGTCAGAAATCTCTAACCCACTTCTGTGTATTTTTACACTGTGTCTATGCTTATTGGAATTAAGCGTTTTGAGAAACTGTGATCGGTCAGACTTAGAAAGCGAAAATATTTGGACAACTATAAAAGAATTAAATCGCTCTGTATTCCCGAAATTATGTGAAAAAGTCAAGCAACAAAAAACGAATCTGCCTTCACTTTTATCATGGTCATATTGTATGTTAGCATTCACTTTTTATGCTTGTGCGGAGTGGGTACATAATCAAGGTTGCAAACCTTCACCTTTGTTCTGTGTCCAGAATTCCGTAGTCATAGATGAGACTATTTTGAATCATCCAACTGTGCCAAATATATTGCGCCATATTCTCTATAATCAGGTAAAGAATAGGCCCTATTTTACACCACCTACTTCAAGAACACTATTAGATCTTATATTTTCAAGTGCAATATCTAGCAATGCAGGAATCTTAATGTCTTGTAAGTATAAAGAAGCATATAAACTATCTGACTGTTGTATTGAATTCGATGAACCTCCAGTGCAACCTGTCAAAGTTGATGAAGTCAAAGTTAATCCTAGAGACAAACCACGTCAATTGCCTTCATGTTTTCAAGATAATTTGCAAACAGGCTCCTTCAAAAAATTTTTTTCTAACCTGAGTTTGTTGAAACAACTACTTGGAAATTCTGACTCCCATAATTCTTTGCTGGAACCATTAATTTTCAGTTTACGACAGTCACCTTTCACATTGAAACGTTTGAGAAGTTGCTTGGCAAGTAGTCTAAAACCAAATAACGCTAATGTCTGCTTATATGAGAAAATTTATACCTTACTACTGCAACTGTGGTTTCAAGCTGCTATGGATCGTACATTGCTTAAGAATTTTCCACAATCATATATATGGTTGTGTGGTTTCACTTGCCCGATGTATGAAGTATGTTTTCGTATTTTGACAGTTATTTGATTACATGAAGTTTCTGTTGATTTTTTCCATTAGTATAAAGCTTATATAATGACGTTTAGAGCCACAAGTTGCTTTTTCATGATGTAAATTGGCGATCAGATTAAAACTAGCTTAATAATGTAAATCTGATAAGTAAGTCAAATTCTTGTTGTCACAACCTGTATATTCTATAGTAAAGGTAGTTTAAGTGCTGATGCGGACTTTCCAGTTTGATTTTGTAGCTCGTTTCACTGCAGCGATAGGTACAGATTTACAGAAAAGAACATCGTATAACCTAACATACTAGTTCATCGTTTAAAGTTGTCCTACTTCAGAACACCATGATGAAGTGGAATTCACGCAAAAACTCAGTTATAATGGTCATCTTCCATAACAGGATCAAAGTGAACAAGGTAAGGTGAGAAAATCCCTGTTAGAAAAAATTGGAATGTACGTACATCTAAATAACTAGCATAAATTTTTAGGTTTTTTGTCGGTTATTCAAGCATGTATTTTCACCGTTAAGGTTACAAAATATCAACAGTACATATCTCGGTCGTCTGTTAGTGTAACTCGTTGTCATCAGTTTGTTTGCTTGTCACACCCGAGAGGTTCAGAAGGAATCATTTGCCGGATACCGTCAGGATTTCTCATATTTTACTTTCAATAATCTTGCTTTGTAGTCTTAAAATAAGGCACTATTTGTGAATTTCCTTTACCTAGTTCCGTCAAATTAGTTTCTGGTCCCGTCTATAATTAAATATTGGATCTTAAAGTTACTATCAAGAAAAAACGATAAATTCGTGGATGCTTAGGTCATTGCTAAATGAAAACGAAATTCCTGTTACCCAATAATACATTTGTCTTAAAACACTCACTCAGCACTTATTTTCCAAGCGATCAAATTATCTGGTCTTAGTTTTATACTAAATTTGCCAATACTACGTACCATACATAAAATTAAAATGGCTTCCCAACCATTAGGGTTAACTATATTCTGCAAGACTTAACTGATCCTCGTTACATGTTCATAAAAAAGCAAGGCGGATACAATAGCTTAAAAGCCTGTACAATAGTGTCACTATTCAAACTACCAAGCTTCCAATAAGTGTGAAGAAAACTAGTATGGGGGGAGGAACAAGAAGATAAATTTCATAAAAAGCAATCAAGGAACAAATGATTGCATTATTAAGGTAAATATTTAAATGTCGCTATAATTTTTGATGCTAACTACCGATGATCTAGCGCCGTATAATTCTGACGAGATAATGTCAGTATTTTCTGAATATATGTACGTTATTATGACGCAACTACCTCTGTTATTACTCAGTTCTTATAAACCTTTGTTTCATAAGTTCGTCATTACATTGTACGCCGGATTATTGAAAATTAACAACATGTAAAGCTACACAGCAGGGTAATTTAAGGGTATGTGACCGAAAATGTATCCTTTATGGGATTAGCGCATGCGGTGTTTTATGACATTTTTAAAAATAAAGCACTCACTTATTATTCATTGAAGTTAATGATACTCCTTTTAATTCTATAGGTAATGAGTATGACTGGATTCTGTGATGCTGTTATATGGACTGGACGTTTTCTGACCGCTTATGAGAATATGTTTAGGTCATCAATTTTTAACTCACCGCACTGGTACCTACAAATGATTACGGATGCAGTGATTGCTATAATAGATCGGTCAGGAAAAGGTTAGTTTACGTTTAGTATGATAATTATGAGCAGTACGTCAATATATTTTGTTATGTCTTTTAGATGGTCTACTTCTAACCAGAAAAATGTGTCCATTTTCTTGTGTTATGTTATAGGCAGTTGGTCAGAGTCTCCAGATCTATTTTAATGCTAGTTAACACTCGCTGATAAGGCATATATGTCATTGTTGTTTTGCAACACTAATCGACACCACGTGCTAAATTTGTCCGTCAGAATTCCCGTTATAATTTCTTCGCCTCGCGTCCGCTATTTCGTCTGTAGTCTAACGTCGTTAGCCTTGAGCAATCATACGTCCTGACTGACGCAGTCAACCTTAAGCTGACGTAGGCTTGACTTCTGTTAACCCATCTATCCACATGCCTTTCTCTATTCTCAACTGTGAATCTGGAAGAAAAGTCTACATCTTAGCTTCTATCATATTTCACCGAGTACATATCTCAAATACCTATTAGCTTCTGTACATAAATTAGAAGCCCACAACGCATCCCGAATATAAAATCATACTTCCCATTTAATCGTATCATAAGTCACAGAGAACAGTACATAATTCATTAACAATAATTATGAAACAGTAAAACATAACAATAGTCAGTAGGCACATTGTTGGCTTACAATAAAGGATATATAGGAATACGATAGTTATTTACTAGTTATACAATAGAAGTATAAATAACGTTAGTCCGTGAATTAGTCCCAAGAGTTAAACTTTTTTTCGATACTCTCTCTACCACGACAGTAATCTTGAAGGGACTGTCCCCTACTCAGTGAATAAAATTCGTCACCCGGTGCTGTTATCAGTAAAGTTAGTATGTTGTTGTTTGAGCTGTAGTTGATTTTATTTGGCAATGATCAATATCGTATAATCTAGTCCATAATACTGATCAAATCTTTTTGATATGAATAAAGCAATGACAACAATCATAGCAGAATAATACACATCCATTTATTTTGCAGATTCTCTTCAGCTGCTTATAATCTAGAAATAATAGTATGAATTATGTAACGAACGGATGTATCTTATATCAAATCAACAGAAAAGTCTTCGTCAGTGGAAATCGGTAAAAAAGTGAATAAAACTAGAAACAAGGAATGTTCGTACGGTTTATTATTTATGATAACTAATATGAATATTTTATTGAGGAATCTCCGGAAATATACTTCTAGGGACGTAAAACTAGCGCGAAAATTTAGGTATTAACAACCATCGACAATGGATTGGTTAAAAGGAAAGTAACTGGTAGCATTAAATAATATGTTATCTAACAAAGTATTAAGAACTGGGACCACCAGGTTAGTGCAAGACTAAAAATAGTACTTTTTGATAAATGTATCTGGTTTGTCTTGCAATAATGATGGATTTTGCGAAACACTATCAATACAAAGTTATTTCAAAATTTTGACGCTATGTCCACCACTAAGTAGATAATAAGCAATCGCACTACCAAAGATATTTTGACCTTTCAGTCTCAACTGCTAATATATGCGAGACCTGTCGGTCTTTGAGAAACTAGTGCCGAAAGGAACGATCTGTCTACATTGTATTTATTGCATAGAATTGGTTGTTATGGTAGACAAACTGCTAAGTTAGAAATCCACTGTCTGAAGAAATTACACGCTACGGTCATCAGTTAGGAAAATTCTAATAAGTAAGATAATAGATAAACTTGTTTAGTTCAAACGTGATGACAATTTTCGAAGACAGTAACACTACGAGTCAGGTGATAATCATTAACATAAACTAAAATGTCAGCTCAACGTGTTAAAGATGTTGACCTATAAATTTAGGTACACTAGGTCCAGGTTGATCACATATATGCTGCGTACAATGATACTTCAATTCGTTTCAAAGACTCTGGTCCATTTAATGTTTCAATTCGGTAACCTTCAAACACGAATAAGAAGCACATGCCAACGCTTTTGATACGATTCGGTGAAAAATCAGTAGACAATACGGGTTTGACTATGAATATCAAATATAAACTAAATAAATGTTTTTTTTTCATTTATTATGTTATAGGTAGTAAACAGGATATACCATCTGATCAACTGGATGAATTGCTTTGTAGTTGTATGGCTGCAATCATCAGACCATTTCATGCTCTCAGAATTGAAGATCACGAAGTTTATGCTGAAATGTCTCGGGCGATTAAAGTTCCCTTAGAATCAATTGTATCACATCTTTCAAGTTGTTCAGTTATAAAAGAAAGTTCAAGCACAAATACCAAAGAAAAGAAGACAAAAACGACAGAACCAACAAGTGCAACTATAAGTTTTAGATTAAAAGATTTCATAGTTCATCATCTCATATTTCCAATGATCAGAGCATGTGACAAATGGGCAATGGGACAAGCAAAGTTGGGTATAAAACCACATTGTGCAAAAGCTTTTCTTAATCAACTTATTATTGACGCGAAAATCCAAAATGAAAACTTTGAAGGCCCTCCTCAAATCGCACAAAAGTTGGATATCGTTAGACCACCTGCTGTAGGTGGTTTGCATGTGGCGGAAAAACTATCGTTAAAGCGAAAACGATAAAATTTCTCATGTACAGCTGTAAAAAATGTGATAATTTAGAAATTTCTAACTCTTATGAGAATAAAAATGTATATACGAATAGCTGGTTTCTCGAAAGTTCATATGTACAACGGGCAAGGAGTCACAGATAAAAGACTCGATCCTTTAAACTTGCAAATGTGGCTAGAAGAAAACGGTTTTTTTCTTATTAGGTGAATTTTTTATTTATTTAAGAAGTACATAGGAATAATGAAAAAGTATGTAATTAAGAGATAATAAATATTTTCATTTTATTCAGAATCTGAAGATAATATTTTCACTCTACGAAATACACCCCCAACATTTTCATCATTCTCAGGATGTCGTAATTCCATTTGTCTATATTTCCAAAACAAGAAAAAAACTTTCTTAAAAAAACACAATCAGGATGTAAAAAGTAACACAAATCAACAGCACATATATAGTTAGCAGTGACAAAACAAATTCTAATAAACTTGTTAAATTAAGGATTGTGGTTTTACACACAGATCTAAGATATTAAGTTAAAAAAAACTCTTAATACTGTAATCATAACAACAAAGAAGCAAAATAAACAAAAGCATGAATTTTATTCTTATTAAGAAACTCCAAGTGTATTTGTTAAGAGCTTGAATATTCAAGATTAATAGTTGTGCGAAAGGGTTGCGTAAAATGTGGAAATGTAATTAGGAGGAAATATGGGAACAGAATTAAGTTTGTTGAGAGTAAAAGCACAGGATAAACGATTTAGAATATTGGAAATTAAGACCATGTTAGAAGGAAAGATCGCATAAGTTCATTTTGTATATACAATTTTGGCTTGTTCAGATTTATGGTGAAATTTTAGCAATACTACTGTGACAAAAGTTCATTGTTCTAGATTAATGACAATCACGCAACGTTATCCACTTAAGCGTCCCAAGGTATAACAGAAAGGTTTCATGTATTATATGATCTCTCATCGAGCGAAACAATTAAGCAACTTTCATTTGTCATGAGTATCAGTTAAGCCAGGGGACAAAAAATATTAAGATTTAGTTCTAATGAGTTAATGAGACAGTCATCAAAATGATTTAATACCTTAATAAGATATTTTTACTGATAAAAAGGTGTACGAATTCAAATTAATTATATCCAAAATGCGAAATAAAGCCAATTAATTCCAAGAATATGTAAGATTCACTGTTATACAGTCTCCGGTTTTTCCCTAAGAAGCTGTCACCTACCACTGGTTTAAACATGTACAATTTGTTCAGAGTAATACGCTAAAGGATAAATGATGTGGACACAAAACCATATAATTGGAATACTTACGACTCTGAATGATAAGTATCATGACCGTCTTCATTTTCATCATCTGAGGACAATAGACGCCTTCTCTTTTGAACTGGGATTTTCGGAGACCTTTGTGAAATATAGAGTAAACAGAATAGAAAATGTTATATTTCAATCCTAGCATGAGCATATCCGAGAATAGAGTTCTAAAGTGTAGTAGAATAAGGATCAAAATCAAACTCTGGCAGTCAGTGCTTATTTTAAACATGAAATGAATATTTGGTAATTGATGTTATTATCTGGTTAACGTTTCGTTCCATAAGCAGATACTACTGAATACCAACTTGCGATTCGACTTCAAATAAGCGATTCCCATTAACACACTTTGATGTAGGGAAATTGTTACTAGATTTAATATCAAAAATTGGATCAGGAAGAAGTCGTGCACCATAGATGTAGAAACCATACATAATAGTTGGGTTCTGTGTTAACCAATGCACATCTTATTTTAGTTCTATGAAGCGATGTTTACTCTTGTTCACGTACTAGAGAAGCACTTTCTTGTTTTTATCTGTTTGGAATTTTTAGAATTACGATGGTCATTTCATAGAGTTTATATGTAAGCACAGGGAAACTCGTGTGTATAACAGTAAAATCATAAACGAAAAATTATCATAAAAATAACTGTCAAGGGATGTCTTTTCAACGTTTCCTCATTTACATAAAACAACTAGTATTGTTATCTATTTCAGCAACTGATTTTTTTTCAAGAGTCATATTCATACCAGCTCCAGAGTGGGATGATGAATTAGAGATACGAGAAACTCAACTGAATATCTAAGAAAATTCTATACAGTCTAGTACTTATGAGTAAACGTTTACGCAAACTTATGAACATCATATTCCAGTTTACACACTGCCTAATTTTTAGTGGTTTTTTCATAATGGAGTTTTATAAACATAAAAACAAACAACCACTATGACATTTTTGAACACCGTATAACTATGTGTACATGATACAATGTTATTAGATCTACATTTACCCTAATTCTGAGTTTGGAGAAACTGCTCCAGAGATATAATCATCTTGAGTATGATTCACATAGGTAATGGGTTCCATTTGATAAGATGGTCTATCTGATTCAACCAACTGATTAATATATTCAGGAGTGGTACTTTTATTTGTTTTATTTTCTGAATCTGAGCTGTGTGAACTACTTGCTTCTTCTTCATATGATGAATCCATAGACCGTTCATCATCTGATGTTGATGAAGGTTTTTTTTACGACTCTTGCTTTTCTTTGATCCTTTTGAAACATCCAGATCCACATTTTGTATTTTTTCAGGTTTCCTTTTATAGACAGCTCTTTTAAGTTGATTCTCATTATCCACTAGACCAAGTTCAAGAATTTTAGCAGCTATTACACGTCTGGCACGAATAGGTGGAATACATTTGTCCGATTGATTTTCATTCATAATTAATTCTTGTCCCAAACAACGTTGAACAGCTAAATCATGGTCTACCTTTATTTCATTCATGATTTCAGTTAGCATATCTAAAAGTAGACGTAAAAATAAATCACGAAACACAATAATAGTTAAGAATGGACAATTAGTTTTATCTACAATTAATATTAAAAGTATACATTTTATTTTGGTAAAAACTTCACATCGACCTTAAAATGAAAAGTACTACGAGTAAAAAACACTAAATGTAAGTTCAAAAACTGCATACATGATATGGATTCTTACTTTTTGAACCTTTGTGTAACTCGACTATGTCCCTTAGTCGAGCTATCTCCTGTTCAGTCCACTCACTGGATTCTCCATTGTTGAGCAAACGTCGATTTCGTCCACTAAGAGGTTTAGGGGGACGAACTCTAAAATGTTTATCAATAATGAATTTTATGGTTTGCGTTATGCGGAATTCAAAGGTATTGAACTTATACATAGAAATTTTAATATTTTCTAAATCAAATTCCTTAAAAGTAATTAACAGTACTTAAAGTATAAAAAATTCGGTTGATTGCCTATTTACACGAAAATGAACATATTAGAGCAAAACCATGTGCATGAAAATGTTTTAAAGACAAATTATCCGTCCTATAAAAAAGCAACTTTACTCAATATACACGAATATGCCATTTAATTCTGAAATTTGATCTACGTTCACCATTTTAATGATCGGCCATTCTCTCACCTGCTTCGAGCATTTTGCATTTTGATGTTCATTAGAAACAGCACTGCAGGTTCATATAATGCAATCTAATATTTATGCAAAAGGGAAGTTAGTACGGTCTTTCCCATCCGAATTAAACGATTTAATGAAAACCGCTCCTACTTGTATATTCAATAAATCAATAAACAACACGATTGTAATTTTAAGTTACTTAGACATGTATGTAAAAAGTGGTATTTTTACTAAATGTCAATACATTGTAGTCATAGCCCAATTACTACCTTCTGATATTCCACAGTGAATGAAATATAAAGTTTTGGAAAGACCTATTATATTTAATTTTAATTTGTGTATTATCAGAAAAAATTCGCACCTATTATCCTCATAATCCTGCCGAACATTTTATAACTTGTTATTAATACTTCTACAAATGACACTAAATTTAGAGACATAATGTTAACTGAATCAAAGCTGCTTAACTAATGTAATGACATGATAGAGTTAACTGAGAATGTTGATGTTGTATGTGGGGTTCGAACTTATCCGGCTTTATAGTCTAAAATAGTACTACTAAACTACTCGGGCGATGACTCATCTCATGTACGACTGTGATATTTACAATTAATCGATCACTGAGTGGTGACCAATATCATTTTAGCTTAGTGTTGATTAAATATGCACGAAGTATTAGGTTGTTGTTTGTTCAGAATAAAATAACAAAACAAATATTTTAGAGGAAAATAATAAATTAACTAACGTAATTTCTTTGAGTTGTTTCAGTGATGTAATCAAGCCCAATGTAATCAATCTGGCAACAATTTGTCGACGAGTTTTACTGGAATCGGAAAAATGTTTGACTAATAGGTCAGCTAAATCGTTACCTATTAAATTAATTTTAGAAAGAGAAAAAAACTTGTTTCATCCCATCAAAAAGACATGTGATTATGAAAACTTATTCATTCCATTACAATCATAGCCTTCGATTAATCTACATCTATATTTCGAATCTAACTTCAATCAAAACTTTTTCCACAAAGAGGAGGTATGTTGTACCGCTTTCTAAATAACTAATTGTTTTCAGATTGTAACCAACTGTTGAATAGAATTCGCTAAAGAAATAAATCATTGCTACATTTATTGTTCCTGCTTTAATTAACATTGTTTTTATGATAGACAGTGTTCACATGTAGAACCACATACAATTTCTAATCATGAATAACTAACTAGGTTTGGCTGAATGTTTTCAGAATTGCATTACTTGTTTCCAACAACATACTGGCCTAAACGGATTATATACATCCAAATTATTATCATTTCCCTATACCATCCAATGTAAATAAAATATTCTTAATAAATTAGCTAACAAAAGAAAACCTACACATGGAATACGAATAAGAAAATCCATTTTGTTCGAGAATCTTATCAAGAAATAAATAACATACCAGAAGGTACAGGATCATGACGATAAGCTTCAAATAGCTGAGTTAATTCTTTATCATGTTCACTGGTCCAGTGAATAGTTTTCTTACTGTAAAAAAATTTTGAATTCTTTAAGAAATAATTCGTTTACTGTAGCCAAACTATTAACGTGAACAAATAAGTGGGAATAAGCAAACAAACGGAAATAATTGTATCATTTCACAACAGAAAAATTGTTATTTTTCCTATGATATTGTAGACTGTATTTCCTACATAAGTTAAGGTACAAACATGTATGATATATAAATAGTGTTAACTTACTTGCTCTCAAAAGTACCATATCCTTGGACTGTCTCATAACTTTCTTTAGGAGTTTTAAAGAAAAGAGTTTCAATTAGAATATAATTGTTTCGCTCTTCAGCTTCAAAGAATTTTCTTAAAATATATTTAATGAGATTGGCTAATTCCTGATAAATTATAACAGGAAAAAAACAACAAAGACCTAATAATTCAATTTAATTGTAACATGAATTACTGATAAAGATGATGTTGTGCTAATGAGCTATGACAAATTGAACCGATGCATATATGTGCCTGGTCCTACGTTGTAGATGACTGATAAAGATGACTATATAAGACTTTAATAAACGACTCATATTTTACAACTATCATCCTAAGTAAGCATAACAAATTCGCTTAAAATGATTCATTCAGATAAATATAAAAAGTAAACACTTTCAAAAATAACAATTCTTCTTTATGAACACGGTGTATACCAATGTAATTATGGGTGTTATATCGCGAAGCGATATAACAGGGTAGGAAAGGTTGAACACAAGTAGCCAGTAGACAAAGAGGCCTAATAAAGTGAAATGGTTGCTTTGGTCTGTCTCTACACCGTACCGTTCAAAACAGGTAAAGTTGAAAGCTTAGCATATAGACAAATTAACACTGAAGAATGAAATATATTTTAGTAGTCTAACATCAGTGTCTGTTATAAAAACCGTCCCATGTGAAAATAGTTAATCGTTCAATTAAGGACAATGTATAGAAAAGAGGATTTATTACTTAGCCAGTTATGTGATTGGGTTGTGAACTAGAACAATAGACATAAAAATGCAACTGTAGAACCATTATTACTCATCGCCTGTACGTTTTGACGTAGGTTATTTATACTTATCCAAGTCTTTTATTCAAAGTTCAGCAGCTGAAGTGAGGAATGCTATATCAAATAACTGTGTCAACAACTAAATGATCACCCACAATATCGAATAAGGAAATGCTTTATTGTATCAAAGCAGACAGACACCTATAATGAGTAATAAAGTTCCATAATCAAAAACAAAATAGTATACTCGGGTTAAAGATAAGGTTAGAGAACTCATGACGACACGTTTGAACCCTCAATCTAATAATCTAAATTATGTATTGAAATCACTGAGCCATAGTACTGTTAAAAATACAAATGATAGTTTTATGAAACTGTCGGTATTGACTACTTTGGTAACCATTGTAGCAACTGTTTTGGTTTATAACTTCTTATGTTGTTACTAACGCTAGTGACATCAATCCATAAAATACAATTTCAGACTTTTTATAAACAAGATGCCAATAACACAATAGAACTTTCAAACACCAGACTCTTATCGAAACTGAATAAAATACTTCACCCATAAAAACTCAAGCATCCCATGCTACATAGAGGTGTGTGTTTTCGAAACACACAAACATATCCATATAATTTTTATCCTCTTGGTTATTCAAAATAAATATTATCGTAAATGTTGAATAAAAGATTGCCTAAAATGATTGTAATAAGTAATATAACAGCGAAAACATACACTGTACAAAAGTGACTTCCACATAAAAATGGTTATTATATACTCACTTTAAATTCCGGCGAGGTAGCTAAAGCACGATCATGTAAAAATTTCTGAAATACTCGAAATAAGCGTAATTGAAAGAAACAACCAGTTAGTCTTTCTTTTACAGCCAATCGATGAATAGTATGTACAATTGCATGATTAACTGATTCAGGATTATTATCGTAATTCTCTAAAAGTAAACTAAATAATGTAGATCGTATTCACTAATTGGCTACACAAACGGATTGTAATACTTATATATAAGAATATCAAAACAATCACATTCACTAAACACTAAAAATAATCATACCAAATATTTTTTTGGATTATCAAAAACAACTTTTCTCTTTTTCCTCCCCGTGACACTAGCTTGAACTTAAATACACGTAAATATGACAATCAGATACAGATCTGTCCATCTACGTACGGTATTAGCAATAATTTTAATTATGATTTATTGTACGTCAAAATCTGAATTCTACAACTCAATATCATCATTATTCTAATCGGTCTTACTTGAATACAATATCATAACGAAATTATTGACAAACTCACTACAGAGTGTACGTCAGTTCTGGATTTAATTAAAAGACAAAAAAAGTTTCTGTTTTACAATTGGACATCTGGACACTTAAGTGACAAGGTTTAGCAAATTCATAAAATGTGACCATTTATTTCACTGATAACAGTATAGTGATTTTTATAAGTGGCGATAAGTGAATTATGTTAGAATGGAACATAATAGAGGACATCAATACTTGACAGGGACTATTATCTACTTTTGTTAATAGAAATAAACAGTCTTGAGTTTTGTTTAGTTAATATTATGAGCAGGGGCAACGTTACTTAGTTTTCTATTCAAAGACCTTTGAAAACAGAAAAAAACCTATGAAGTGGAGAACCAATTAACATATAAGGAACAAAAAATAATATGAAGCCTGAATCACTATTGAAACATTAAACCTATGGAAAGGTGTGCAGAGGTGATTAGATGATCAAAGCAACCAATATTTGACCATTGCATTGGGGCCTCGAATCCTATTAGATCTATTTAGATTAAGACTATTGATGAACACTACTAACTAAACTGTGAATATTTTTAACTCAAAACTGAACATGTATGTTTGTATTTGGCTAATGAGTTGCATTCAATTGATTAATTAATTACAACTGCATGCTATTCATAGATTTTACGTGAAAGCTTGTCATAATACATATACTGCATTGTTGTTACAACAGTGAACACCTTGTGAAGCTGTTATTTTCCCATCAATTAAAATACAAATATTGTTTATTTCCAACATTGTGTAAAATTTCCATTTGAAATAATAATAATATCAGAGGGGGGTTTTGTGGAGATTTTAGTAATTTCATATACCTGAAATCATGAGTCAATTGAAGCTAGACCACTATAGAAAACGTGGAAGCACTGGACGGCCGTTTTGTCCTATCGTGGGACTCCTCAGCAGTGCGCATCCATGATCCTGCCTCGCGAGATTCGAACCCAGGACCTATCAGTCTCGCACGCGAGATGCCGGCTCAGTGGTCTAGTGGTTAAGCTGTGGAAACACCAATGACATCTATTATTAATTTAAACCGAAGGGTTCCAAAAAACCAATGGATTTTTTCTAAATCTATTTCATTGATGGATTTTCGTAAACTCATCCCATCAGGCTCTGAACACGACGAAGAGCGAAAACAAATCAGATCTAAGTTAACCAAAAGTCTAAGGAACGATCGCGAGCAGTGGTTGGCAACGAAAGCAAAAGAGATGGTAAAGGCAGTGGCTGTAGGCAACACCAGGCAACTCTTCAGACTAATAAAAGAAACCGGAATTAAGAAGTCAAGCGTAAAGGAGACGATCTCGGAAAAAGACGAAACTCTTATCTGCTCTCAGCCCAGACGTTTAGAACGATGGGTGAAACACTTTAGAGAACAGTTCAGCTGGACTTCAGCTACTCTACAGTTACCCACCATTTCCAGACAGTCTGAATGGAACATTGAAGTTCAAAAGGCTATAGTTAATCTGAGATGAGGAAAAGCAGCTGGTCCAGATGGGTTGACTCCAGAGGTCTTTAAGTATGGTGGTTTAATTTTAGCTAAAATCTGGGGGTTGGACGTAATCCCATCCAACTGGTCACAATATATAAGAAGGGGTCAAAATCATCCTGTGATAACCATAGATGGATTAGTTTGACTAATATAGCATCTAAAATACTCGCCTCAATAATTATCGGGCACCTAACAAAGACTCATGAACTACAAACACGAGAAAATCAGGCTGGCTGCATCGACCACATATTTATTAGTCGTCAGATTCTAGAACACAGACATGCTTATCGGTGCCCGACAATGATAGTTTTTCTTGACTTAAAAGCAGCATTTGACTCTGTAGACCGATAGGTTCTGTGTTAATGTATGTCATTGAAAGGTGTACCTCAGAAGTACATAAATCTTGTGAAGTCTCTTTAGTCAAACACTATTAGTCGAGTCAGAGCTTATGACGAACTTTCATCTGATTTTGTAATCTTAGGTGGTGTTCGATCAGATTGTCCACTATCTGCATTTTTGTTTAGTTTCATCATAGACCTACTAATGGAAATAACGTTCTCATCGACTGGATTTTCAGGAATCCACTAATCGACTTAGAATACGCTGATGACATAGTCCTGTTTGGTGAAGATGCTGATAAAATGCAGAGTCTTTTGGTAGCACTGAGCAACAATGCCGGGATGTTTGGGATGCGTTTACCCCCTCTAAATGCAAGTTGTTGCTTTAGGACAGGCCTGCGTCATCACCCGAACTAAGTATAGATAGTGAAGTAGTCGAACACATCGACAACTTCACTTATTTCTGAAGTGTGATCAGCCCTAATGGGTTGGCGTCTAACAAAATCTGTGCACGGAATCACAAGACTCGTTTGACTTTTGCTAACTTACATCACCTATGGTGAAGACGAGATATCCGTCCATTAATCAAGGGACGAGTTTACTGAGCACAGTTCGTTCTATTCTACTTTACGGCTGCGAAACGTGGCCATTAGGAGTAGAAGATACACGTAAGTTACTAGTATGTGATCACAGATGTCTTAGAAATATTGCCAACATCTGCTGGGATTACCGGGTAAGAAATAGTGAGGTTACACACAGGGTATTAGGAATTGATGGTAAATCACACGATCATGTTGTACATCTTCATCGACTGAGATGGCTGGGCCACGTGTTACGTATGCCTAAATATCGATTACCACGATGCGCATTTCTGACTAGTATTGGAGATGGTTGGGAGATTGGTAGAAAGTTAGGGACGACCAAACCAAAACGTGACATCAGTTCTTGAAATCATTAACTTCTGGTTCGAGTCATGTTGGTAGATGCAGACTACTTGGTTGGGGTCCGCGCAACTATCGTAACTAGCGGTTGGAGACTGGGTGACATGGCTCAGAATCGACCATAATGGCGTTGGTGTTTACATTCGTCGTCTTGCCCTCAACCGTGAGATTCAAGTTACTTTATACCTTTCTTTCTACGAACTAATTTTTTCTTCCCGTATTATATTATATGTAATCATTTTTTTATATATTATTACCATTGAAGTAACTACTTCTATGGTGATCATCTTGTCGTGCTAATGACGAGTGGCAACTTCGGCCGATGCATATATGTGCCTGGTCCTACGTTGTAGGTGACTGAATGGAATTATTGAAATTACAATCGCTGAAACTATTACAAGTGTAATTTTTACACACAATGTCTTCCATATATTCACTGTTCAATTCATCAGAATATTTGTTCAACTATGGACGAATACTCGTACAAATTGTTTATTTCATCACATGACTGAAACGTCCAACAGCTATTTGTTCCAGACATTGATATTTACTACTATATTTCGTTGACATTTCTATTTCCAATATGTTATTTCAGTCTGGTAAAAGGAACAAAAATATTTCAGTCTTTAGTATTCTATTCCTCATTCAGTAATGAATTTCAAGGAGTACTATTTAATTTTAAGTATCAAACAGTATTGAGAGTGACAGACTAAAATTATATTGAATAATTGTAGTTGATCCTTCCACGGTGTGGGCAGCCGGGAAGTGATACTAGCCCTCATACCCTTAGCTGCACACAAGACCAAGTTGGTCGCTTTCAAATCCTTCCTACACCTCCTAATAACTCTGTTATCTCCACGACTAACCCTTCCCACGTCCTTTTATCACCTCGCACCGCTAGGGCAAACGATTCGAGTACACAGAACGTTATTTCTGGTCTCCTGAAACCACGCTCTAAACTACATATAGGAACTTTTAATGTCCGAACATTGTGCCAAATAGGACAACAGGCTTCCTTAGCTAGGACTCTAGAATCTTACACCATCGATGTGTGCTGCGTCTCCGAAACGCGCATACAAGATCCGAGTAGTGTCATTCATTTGACCTCACCTAATCAAAATAAAGTTTCATCTCGATACACGCTTCGTGTATCTGGAAGCCCTGACGCTGCTTCCCGTGGCCTCGCTGGAGTAGGTATAGCATTAAGTCCTAGGGCAGAACTAGCTCTTTTAGACTGGATCCCAGTAGACAGTCGTCTATGCGCTGTCCGACTAAACGGATCAGTAAGGACCCGGAAAGATAGGGAAACTCGTCGTTGCCTCTTCGTCGTCTCTGCCTACTCTCCCACTGACTGCAGCTCAGACGATATAAAAGATGAGTTCTACAGGAAACTTTCTGACCTTCTCCGAGAAGCTAGGCGTTCTGATGTTGTAATAGTAGCAGGTGACTTTAATGCTCAAGTAGGTAAACTAAGTGAAAGGGAAAGACACCTGGGTGGATCTTATGGTGTCATGGCGAAAAGAACAGATAATGGCGACCGTCTGTTGCAGCTGTGCTCAGATAACCGCCTATTTCTTGCAAATACTAACTTTAAGCATAAGGAAAAACATCTTTTGACATGGCGACCCCCGAATTCGTCCCAACGTTGGACCCAATTAGATCACATCGCTATCAGCCACCGATGGAGGGGCTCGATTGAAGACTGTCGCTCATTATGGGGCACATGTCTAGATTCAGATCATGCTCTAGTGCGAGCACGTATCTGTCTGCGTCTAACTGGTCGTAGGAAAGACACTGCAGGGAAGCCTCTAAGGGTTCTACTTAATGATAGGCAAGCTAAGAATATATATCAGGAACAACTAGAAAAACAGTTAGGCAGCCATGTAAGTTGTGTCCACCCCGAGGCAGCGTGGAATGACATCCGAAAAGCTGTGGAAACAGCAGTGATGTCCGCTAGTAAGGTAAACCATAACGTTAGGGAGAAACAATGGATCTCGGCAGCATCTTCCGCACTGATAGATGCTCGTAAACTCATCCCACCTGGCTCTGAGCATAACGAAGAGCGGAGTCAACTTAAGCGCAGGCTTATAAGAAGCCTACGTAATGATCGTGAACAGTGGTGGGTAGGGAAAGCAAGAGAGATGGAAAAGGCAGCGGCAATAGGTAACAGTAGGCAGCTATTCAGACTCGTTAAAGAAACCGGCATTAGGAACCCGAATATCAGTGAAACCATCTCAGATAGAGATGGGCATATTATTCATTCTCAATCCAGGAGATTGGATCGATGGGCAGAACACTTTAGGGATCAGTTCAACTGGCCTTCAGCCACACTTCAATTACCCACGATCCCCAGTCGTCCTGAATGGCAAATTGACGTAAGTCCTCCAACCCTCTGTGAGGTTGAAAAAGCTATAGGAAATCTGAAGCGAGGGAGAGCAGCAGGCCCTGACAGGTTGACCCCTGAGATTTTTAAGGATGGTGGTCCAGTACTAGCAGTGAGATTGACTGAGGTCTTAGGTAGAATCTGGGAACTGGACGTAATTCCATCTGACTGGTCCCAATCACTGATTGTGCCAGTCTATAAGAAAGGACAAAAGTCCTCCTGTGACAATCACAGAGGGATCAGTTTGACTAATATAGTGTCTAAAATATTAGCTTCAATAATACTAGGTCGCCTAACCAAAGCTCGTGAAGAGCAGACTAGAGAAAACCAGGCTGGTTTTCGACCTGGACGTGGTTGCATAGACCAGATATTCACCCTACGTCAGGTTCTAGAACATAGACACAAATTCAGACGTCCCACAATAGTAGTATTTCTTGACCTTAAGGCGGCATTTGACTCTGTTGATCGTGAGGTTCTATGGCAATGTTTGTCACTGAAAGGAGTACCAAAGAAGTACATTAACCTCATAAAGGCTCTCTACTCGAACACAACTGGTCGAGTTAGAGCCTATGGCGAACTGTCATCAGAACTGATTACCACAAATGGAGTTCGTCAGGGCTGTCCACTCTCCCCATTCTTGTTTAACTTTGTCATTGACATACTTTTAGAGACAGCACTTTCATCAGCTAAGCCTCCAGGAGTTGAACTCTTACCGGGAGGCTCACTTGTTGACTTAGAATACGCCGACGACATAGTTTTACTCGGTGAAGACACTGACAAAATGCAGAGTCTTCTGACCACCATAAGCAACAATGCAGGCATGTTCGGGATGCGATTCTCTCCCTCGAAATGCAAAATGTTACTTCAGGATTGGGTTGCAGCGACACCTGAACTAATGATAGGGAGTGAAGTAGTTGAGCGTGTAGACCACTTCACTTATCTTGGGAGTCTCATCAGCCCTTGTGGTCTGGTGTTTGACGAAATCTCAGCACGGATACAGAAGGCTCGTCTAGCTTTTGCCAACTTGCATCATTTGTGGCGTAGGCGAGATATCCGTCTAGCAACCAAAGGACGGGTTTACTGTGCAGCAGTTCGTTCCGTCCTACTTTATGGAAGTGAAACATGGCCGGTAAGAGTAGAGGATATTCGTAGGCTACTAGTGTTCGATCATAGGTGTCTTCGAAGCATTGCTCGTATATCCTGGGACCACCGGGTAAGTAATGCAGTTGTTAGGAAACGAGTACTAGGTAGGGATGGCAAATCGATTGATGAAGTAGTGAAACATCATCAGTTGAGATGGCTGGGACATGTGTTACGTATGCCCGACCACCGACTGCCCCGACGTGCAATGTTTCATGGTGTAGGAGTAGGTTGGAAGAAAGCTAGGGGTGGCCAGACCAAAACGTGGCACAAATCAATGAAGTCACTGACAAGTGGACTGGGCCATGTTGGAAAGTGTAGACTACCTGGTTGGGATTCGCGAGATGATAGCAACCGATGGTTAGAGACCTTGAATGACATGGCTCAAAATCGTTTGCAATGGCGAAGATGCATCCACTCTTTGTGTTCTACCAAATTCTAATCTTCTGAATTTCTCATGTCTTTATGTTTTTCTCCTTCCAAATATATTTCACTGTACTATACTCCTTCAATAACATCTTCAAACTCTAATCTTTCCGATTACTGCTTATACTCTTACTTATTCTTCCACTATGGGATTTGAATCGACAACTGCATCTGTGTGCTAATGTGGTATGGCAACTCGAACTGATGTACGTACGTACGAAGTTCTACGTTGTGACTGACTGACTGATTGTAGTTGATAGTTCCATATAATATATCAATTAAACTTTGATTTGGATTAACTAAATAATAAATTATAATTTGTTAGTACCGAATATGACTCCATTTGTTCATTATCAGGTACGAGAATGAAGCAAATTACGTTATATCCCACTTGAAACAAATATTTTTATACAGCTAACGATATTATCCTTAGTTCAAGGAAACGGTGAAAACTTACGTGTAAGCATGTACAACACGTGGATGAACAAATTTGAGCATAAAAGCACTAAAGTCTAGGACTACTTCTTTTTCAGTAGTAACTAGTTCATCATTTGAATCACTTATGCCAAGTTCTTCGTTGTAAAGGTCATCACCATCACTACTATTCGATGAAGAATTATTCAGTGCCTCCCGCTCTTCTTCTTCTTCTTCCTCTTAAATGTAGGAAGGAAATAAACAGGTTAATTTTGGATAAAAATTAAATACAGAACTAACATATTATTTATAGTAGGTAAATTCTAGTATAATAGATTGTCAGAAAGAAATGACCACACTGATAAAGTGGTAACATTGTTAAAAAAGTAAGAGAGAAATGTCGTGTTCTATGAATAAATAGACTAGAAAAGTACAACTCATTTAGTAATATTACCAAGAAACTACCAAGTCGAGTGAGTTCATCTCACTTGAGTAAAGAAAAACTATGACAGGATCTCCACCCACTTTTATTCTACATCATATCTGACAACGGTCCCAAGTCAACGAAGTTGCACCGTTTCTGGTACCTTAACAAGATAGTCGTGATGGACCGATAGATCGTAATCTTAAACAAATATCCTTCATATCATGGAGCCATGTTATACACCGAAAACCTCTATGTATTTACGACCCAGTCTCTGCGGAGATATGATATATAGGTACTAGAATAAATAAACGTTTGTCGCCTAGTTCATATTTATGTAAAATACGCGATTAACTGTATATGGTCGGATATTTTTAAATAAGTTGGTCGCATTGCTCTAATCCCAACAAAGACATATCAATAAGGTACTTTGGTTGTAATTCAAAGAACCATAAAAACAATAGAGTGAGAATAATAATATCACAAGAATTCAAAGAACTAACCTAGTTCAGTCATATGAATTTGCTGTAAAGCCCCTAATACATTCAAGCATTCAGGCCGTAATCCTGCAGCACGCCCAGCATCAATGGCTGAATTATCTTCCTCAATTGAAACTGGAGCAACTTCTGGCCAAAGACGCCACATTCTCTTAGCCATTGATAAGGCTCTTTTAGCTGAGCCCGCAAATAAAGCAGCTTGAACTCGATGGATGGCCGATTTCAACTGTTGATCTTCACTGTTTCCAGTAGTTGCATCGAAGAGTCTTGTATCATTCATTTCATCATCACTTTCATCCTGTTCACTCTCTTGATATACTGTTCCAAGTAAAATCTCTATTAAGGGACCTTCTAACTGATTAGACCATTGCTGTTTGAGACGGCTAATTCTCACATCTTCAGGTTCCTGACTTAGGATAGCTGTTTTACGAGTTTCCTTTTTAGGTTTAGAAGAACGCTTTTTCCTTCGGTGAACTCTTCGACGTTTAACAATAATTTTTTTATTGCTACCGCAGATCTTGTTGGAAAGTAAAGTTATAAATAAGTGAGAACCTTCAACCAAATCACGCAAATAGTCTCTAGAAGAGAAGAAATCATGATATTTTAATAGAGATTAGCTTATCGCGAAACCTGTAACAACAAAGACAGTATAGATTGGTTATTCACTACTTCATTGGTTTGGAGCACGCATATTATAAATTTCATTTTACTGGACATGTTTATTCAATACAGAGTTCTTGATAAAGCAGTAATTTTATCGACATTAAAAATATATATATGGCTGCTTTTAGTCTGTCTTAAGATTTTACTGTTAGATTCCCCTCTAAATGGTAGAGAAATATAAACACTTCACTTCGGAGCAAAATAAAGGAAGGTTTAAATCTTGACTGACTTTTGCATCTATTTAAAAACTTTAGTGAGTAACCGTTTGATATCAATGTATCAGTGAGCAATTTCGCATCTTCTTCACCCGTATTTGTTGTACATACTCCTTGAGTCCTGTTAAAGAGGCACTTTACCATACCTCACTTGTGTTTTAATGGACAGAAACAGTAGAAATTTAAAGATTGACCAGTCCAGGTTGGTTTCCTATATACAAACCGCCTTTATAGTTTCATTCTTCCTTAGACTTAAAAGTCTCTCTAAAAAGAGCAATCGGTTATTACTTTCTTCCTCATAAGTCATCACGATATTATTCTGTACCTTATTGAGTTTATCTAGTAACTGAGTAACACAAAAATCTTTATTACTTATGACTAATATATTATCTAATTACCTCCCATACAGACTTAACTCGTTGATGAGTTCACTTGTCATATTTTCAATATATGACATAAATACATTAGCGAAGAGAGGTCTCAAAGGGCTAGCCATAGTAACATTACCAATTTGTAGATGTTCACTTTCAAACGTGCATTGCACCTTGGCAGTACACAATAAAAGTAGTTGTTTTAAAAGTGTTGACCGAACAGGGGAAAAAAGGGGGAATTACTCGAAATATACTGTCACAAAGGAAATAAAGTCTTCGTTAAAGGTGCATTCATAAAAAAGAGGATTTACATTCAAAGGATGCATACTCTTTTCTATAGTATTATTGTCATCACGAACATCAGTTAGTTCAAATGTATCTGTTAAAGAAAACTTACATAATTTATCATAGACTGAATTTGACAATTTAGCTAACCATTTTGTTAGTTCATGTGTAGGTGCATCACAAATAGGTAATATTAGTTTACGAATTCTATGTAATCCCTGTAAATTCAGGAGTACAGAACCGGTAGGTTTAGGCATATTAAATTCCTCTGTTTATAACGTTCATTTTAAGGAGCTTCATTAGGTTGGAATTTACTCTGGATCGCAATTTTCTGACATTTCTATTAGATGGAACGTCCTCCAGGAATTTTATCACCAAATATAGATAACATTTTCACCTTCTAGTTGCATTTATTTATAACGACCAACCCAGGACCTTTGTCATGTTTGAAGATCATAATATTTAGTCTACTTCGGAGGTTTTTTAAAGCATAAAATATTTAGAAGTCAAGATATTCCTGTGTCTGATTTCTAAACCATGAAAATGGTGAGGAGTATATATAGGGATTACGTAAAATTCATAAACCTAATAATATATTACAACCTCTTATCCATGTGTGGTTCACTTACACATGAAATAGCATAATGGTTAGCTAAATTGTCAAGCCCAATCCGTAGTAAATTGTGTAATTTGTGGAACACGTGCCTAGATAGCTTTAAAATCAGTTAGTGTCAAATGTTCCAATAAACTTGGGAAGTAAGAAACCATGTTCATCGATAGCAAAGCACATAGTTAAAACAGGACATAGAATTAATATAAAAACAGCTTTTAAAACGTTGTATAGAAATTGTCAAGGACGAATTCTTAGGTTTATAGAACTCTTGGCTGCTCGTAAATTAAAACTTCCAATATGTGTACAAAAACAATTTTCTGTAACCTGGTAATCCTTATGTCGTTCAATGGCCTAGGATAATGCGATAATTCCTTATTCTTTCCATACGATGTTAATTTCCTCTCGCATTTATTTACAGTTATCATAATGTTTAAATGAACTTTCATTTAACTGATCATCATTAATTTTCATATAAAATGTATTGAAAAGCATACGTGATCAGATTATCCGAAATGTGTAGCGCGAATGCATCACATTTTTCAGGTCCACTCCGTCTTCTCATTGATTTATAAAAAAATTAGGAAAGGGATTGCCTGCTTTTCAAAAATAACTTCAGTTTGTTTTTAATCCAGTATTACTAATTAGACTGAGTTTAACACTATATATGTAGCCACAAATATTCTACTCAACAAGTATATATAACTTTATATACCAGATTACTGATATTACTCAGCTGAGTAAAATCTGATGCGTGGATCGAAGCTAAAATGTGATAAATAAAACTATTAAGTCCATTCTACTAAATTTAATACATGGTTACTAAACGGATCCCAAAATGACTTTGGAGACACTATCTTATTCAAGATAAAATGAATTAAACATACTTGGACATAAATATTTCATTGTAGTCCCTCAAAAGATTTGGGAATACTTCTTGATATTCAGCAACATAAAATACATTAGCTGTAAATAAAAGTGAAAACTACGTAGTAAAAAGTAAAAATGTTTATAAAATGGTCAGTTATAAATAGCACAGGACCTGGCACAAATACAAGTACACTATATTTATTAACAGGCTAAAGCCTGACTGATGAATGCTCTGAGTCACAAAACTACAACGATTGGCCTGTTTCCGACCAATCAGAGCTAATGGAGGAAACGAGTTGCAGATTTAACATAAAACTCTAATGTTTTAAAATTCCTGGGTTCAAATCCTGCCTGTGAGACCATGGATGCGCACTGCAGACGAGCCCCATACTAGAACAAGACGGTTGTCCAGTGCTTAAAGGTTTTCGATTGTAATATAATATTTATCGATTTATGGTCTCAACAATCTCCACAACCCTATACTAAAAAATAAACATGATTAGACTGGAAGTCAAGTGTGAACTATAAGCAAAATGCAGTAGATTCTACAAAAAATCTTATTAACTGTTGATTCATAGTTTTAGACTAGCTAGAAAATATAAACAAATCTTAAATAAGGTAGTGTTTAGTAATAAATGACCGAATTGAAGAAGTGATTAACGAATATTATTTAAAACACAATGCTTATTCAATCAGAGGACCATATCTTTTTTTGCCCATTGAAGTAGCATTTAGTAAGAAGTATGGGAAAATAAACTGTAATTAATGGTTGGATCAAATCTTAAAGTGCCAAATGAAAACCAAGTAAATAGCATGGATCCAAATGAAGAACAACTTATTAGGACCAACAAACAATTCCGATCAAGCATTCCATGGTGAAAAAATATTACTAAATGCCAACGGGAAGTTTGTGGAAGTTAGGAGCGTCAACTAGCAACCTGTTACAAATATTTTGAGTACTAGACATTTTTCATAGGAAGTCTATACTTGACTTTAAATGATTTTGCAATTGAAACCAATTGTCAGGAAAAAGCTGACTAGTTTATAAGCCTGACAAGGAAACACATCTATAAGTCGTATTTCTTACTGCTAATGACGTTAATAAAAGTAAATTAGTCAAGACGATTGTCTGTTCCAATAAATTTTACCCTTTCACTTAACGACAATAGAAAATGTATGTCTACTTCATGGAATGGAAAATTCATCATCATTTCCCAACTTCGCATTTAAGAGGCAGTTCAACAATAAGTATAGCTCCTAGAAATTGTGCACATTCGTTCAATTAACAATTCATATGGAGAAAGAGTTCAAAAAGCAAATTAAAAGATGTTCTCTGTTTTACCCTGTAATACATAACGATCGATTATAAATTCCTTATAACACCTTTATGTTTTCATTTCAATAATTTATATTTTCTCGAATCGTATCTTCGATGCCTAATCTTTCCCATTACCATTGATACTGTTACTTCCGTTATCATTCTGGAATTTGGCTTGACAATTTCATCTCTCTGTACTAATGGGGTATGGCGACTTGAACCGACGTATATACGTACCAGGTTATAAGTTGTGACTAACAAAACAATTGATAGCCATCATCATGCCAGTTCCACTGTTTCAAAGTCAGTCATACACATATAATAATAAAGGTGCATGAAGCGGATCTCAAAAGAGAGTTATGAAAAACCACCCTAGACTCTGCATATTTAACTTCCATTAATCTCGCATATAGACTTTTTTAATCTTCAATTGCCAAATGATAACTTGCGCTATTACATATTGTTAACCAGTTTTCAGCTGAGTGGATGAACTAAACTAAAGTATGTCAATACCGAATTCACAAGAATACATAAATCATTTAAAAAATAATGTCACGAAACAGTGACTGAAATGTGACTTAAAGTGGATTATGGATTGATAAGATTGTGTCAACTATGCTTTAAAACTACAATCAGTCCGAAACGAAGGAATAGTTGTTGTGTCTAAGAATGTATGCAAAGAATACACGTTTATAGTACTTTCTGATCATTTCTAAATCTAAAATATACAATGAATGGCAGCTTTTGTATAAAGTTTTTATATTCGCCAAACGTTAAGGTTTAACTTTGAGTAGAGGCCTCTTCAAAATTCGAGACCAATATTTTTCTAAACGTGAATATTTCGTTTACAGTTTCTGTTTAGATTGGTTTTAATTAGTTGATTATGACTGCTAAACACGTATACTTATGGGCTTTCATAAAATGTTTACATCTAGTCGCAAATCGAATTACTGATAAACTAAAGAAGTACCATCATGAAGGTTCCTATATTTCCTTCCTCCTCTGTTCCTTCGACAAAAGAGAGACGAGTACCATAGAATCTATATAAGACTAGCAGTAAGCACTTGAAAATGAATGCAAATACTAATTAGTCACTGTTTGACTATTAAAAAGCCAAGTGTTTATAATGGGGAAATGTTGTAGGAATACTGCATATTTCGTGATGAGATCTTATTACATTCAAACATATAGTATTCACCAAAGCAATTCTTGTTATTATTAAATCATAAAATAATACGGGACAGTGATAAATATTGATCAATTCATTAGATAAATGTAGCATGATTCATTATGTACCAATAATCGACTCAGCAACATTAGCTTGTGAACGTAATCGTTCTTCAACACCATCTTGTGTTTCATCATCACCTGGCTGAATAGTCTTATCTTCTCCAGTTACATGAAGCATACGATTTAGGCAAGTGAGAAATTCTTTATAACAGGCTACAGCAAGTTCTAAACGTCGAGCTGCTTGCATTGCACGTTGATTTGAAGCGCCACCACGTTTATTGGTAACTAAATGTTCTTTATAATTTATCACTTGATCATATATCCAATGAAAAATTGGCACACTGAGAGTTTCGCTAGGGGAACAACAACAGTATTTATTAACAGAAAAAAAAGTGTAAGCAACGAAAAAGTTATTTCAACTAACTGTTGATACTTATTAGCATACAACGTGTTATGAGAAAAGAAAAAAAATACACTTTAAAGAATGGAACATAGAAATAGGAAGTGATTAGATATTTTACTCATGAACAAAATAAATAAAAAAACACAAGAATTGTTTAAATATTGACAAGAGATTACATCTGTAATAAGTAAAATATAAAAAAAAGTATTAGCAAACAATTAATTCAGAATACTTATGGAGTTTAATAATTGATAACTTATAAGGTCGGATGGTTCTAATCAGTTTGAAGATACCTGAATAGGTTATAACCTAACGATAAGTATTGAGCATGTGTCAAAAAGTACCACTTTCAATGGGCGACCATCACCGATTCATTTCACACAAACACAAATTGAATAAAACGAAGATAATAAGCATCATAAATACATAGATCACTATATATTAAGGCGTTCATAATATTAATTTCCATATAAAAAAGTGCATTTAAGAAAAATTTTCTAAAAAAATCTGATCCATATTATCTAAAGCATTTTCATAAAAGAATATTCAATAATTACTAATCACTATTCTGGGATTTTGTAACCAATGCGAATAAATACAGTTTACAAAGAGGATATAATTCACAATCGGATATTGAATGGTATTTGTATTATCAATAACCGCCGAGATTACTGTGAAAAACAAACATTCAAGTAATATAGTAATCCAATTTACAGTACTTTAATAGAAAGTAAAAATATGATTTCATATCAGGGTGGGTGAGTTCGTAAAAAAATAATTGTAAATACATAAAATAACTCTTTTACATTTCAAATTACTGTGACGGGAGGTGTCCAAAATCTGATACTAATACACAGTGTGCTACGCGCTAACCCCCCAGTCAGTCAGCTATAACGTAGGACGAGGCACATGTATGCATTGGTCCAAGTTGCCATACCTCATTAGCACGACAAAATGATCACCAAATTCATAGAAGTAGTTACTTCAATGGTAGTAATATATATAAGAATGATTACGTATAAGGATATAATACGGGAAGAAAGAATTAGTTCGTGGAAAGAAAGGTATAAAGTAACTTGAATCTCACGGTTGAGGGCAAGACAACGAATGTAAACACCAACGCCGTCATGGTCGATTCTGAGCCATGTCACCCAGTCTCCAACCACTAGTTACGATAGTCGCACGGATCACAACCAAGTAGTCTGCATCTAGCAACATGGCTTGAACCGGAAGTTAGTGATTTCAAGAACTGATGTCACGTTTTAGTTTGGTCGTCCCTAACTTTCTTCCAATCTCCCAACCATCTCCAATACTAGTCAGAAATGCGCATCGTGGTAAATGGTCTGACTGCTTGAGCGAGAACACAAGAGTGTATTGGGATACCGGATACAATTCATATATACATATATATATATATATATATATATATATATATATATATATATACCACTCTAATTCTTAGAAAATTGATCCATTTCTTGGTCAGATTGCCATATATTGACCTTCTCATTAGGCTACTTCAGAAAGGATCTTCATATTAACAATATTCAGATAAATTAGAGATTGTTTAGCAAATATTTACAGAGTGAAAGCAACTGAAATAGTTGGCTATTAAGTTATTATAAACAACTTGAATATTTTATTATTACTAAATAATCTAAGTCTGTACTGTTTAAAAAAAAAGTAGACAAGTGTTTATTGATCTTTACAAAGATACATTTTACTCTTAGATATATGACATATTCAGATATTTTCACTAACACTCATACTGTTTATAGATTTAACGAATTCGAGCAGTACAATGTAACGCTTTACAGGCTTGATTTCCTTAAAAATTTAACTGGTAGTAAAGTTTCCACCCATAGATCTTATTGAAATAGAATATGAATTACTGAGCGTATCCCACGTAAAATATATTATGGCAGTTACGGAATCTAGTATACATTTATCAATCCTAACATGCCCAAACGCAACTTCAAATTACTAATTATAATAAGAGGGGTGAAAACTAGACTAATAGTACATTGGTGACTACTACTCATCAGGAATAAACAAGCTAGTTTGTATAACCATAGTCAAATTTTCCACTTGCTCAATAAATATGTGCTGTTTGCGAAACTATAGGAACAGCCTACAACACGATGTGATGTGATTTCCACATAATAGTAACCAAAGGCTTTTTATAATCGTGAGAAGAATGAAAAGGCAATACTATTTTACTTGCACGCTATAATGATCCAATCAGTATACGACTACATGCATTACTATTCGTTGTCGGATATTTTAATAAGCCTCGGGTTTCGAAATTGCTGAAATTAATCAGTTAGGTGTATCTATAGCCTCCAGGAGACAGGTACTTCAAAAACGTTTAAACAAGCGTTGTGTAATACTGACTCTGGAGACAACACTACTGAATCCCTTTGTACGACAAGGTTCGGCATACCAATCACAAAGTAATGACCACATCTCAAACTTGATTAATATGATTTCATTAGAACTGGGAATGTAACACTGACCATTATTTAGTTATCGACTAGTGTCGGTCTTTTTCCTTTCTGAAAACAATCTAGTTTTGTTAGTAACAAACTGGTGTGTCGCTAAAACAACCATAAGTTAAAATACAAGCAGCTACGGAACATAACTAAAATATTTGATATCTTAAAACCATTTAGATTATCTAGTGAATTATTATTAACATTTCAACAAGTTGTAAAACAATATATACCTGATGTAGTCTGACCGAAATCGATAAACTCGACAAAATGCCATAAAGAATCGCATTGTCCAAAGGAAATAAGTTTCATCATTTTCCTGAGTAGCTTGACGAGTTAAACCTGACTGTACAACGCGCATGATTGGATTATAGCAGAACTTTAAAAATTGCCAACAGAAACCCTAAATTGTTTGTAGATTATATAAAAATTACAATTGAAAAATCGTAAGATAGAAATTATTATGTTCGATTTAAAATACAAAGTTACAATCTTGGCAGATGCAGTAACACTCAAAATGGTTACTTTTTGATTGGAAGTCGATTTCCTGAAGTAATGAACAACTTTAGAGATCAATAAACTACTGTAGTACAAGTTTTAAAAGTACTGTGACAAATAAAACGTGTTTTTCATTGTTGAAGCAATAATAGTGGAGCGCGTATATTCTATCATGATCAGGTTGCCTCCAAATGCCCTGGTACGGCCGAGAGTGGGGAGAGTCTACTCTCCCTCTCGAAATGCTCTCACATGGCCACGCGAATATATAGCCTCTGCCAGGGAAGTCTTACTCACTGCCTTCTCGTGGCGGAGGTGTTGTTTACAAAAGTGAGAGGACGAAAAGCGAATGTCCGGCGCTATAACCGGGTTGGTGGATGTGGAGGATCCACCTAGGGGAGTTGGAAAATCCTGATTCCAAACCTATGGTGCACATGGGCTCCAGTATCCTGAAGGAACAAATGGCGTATGAACCAATTGTTGGTCACCGGCTACCATGGGACTGCATCTCCTCACGATGCTCCACTGCCTTGTGGATTAGACCTTTAGGTCAACGGCTCCGGGTGTGGCCCCCTAAGAAAACCACCTGCTTCGGTTTGGGCACCCGGGCAGTATCACAGCCCTCTCGCAAATAAATGAAATGGAACATTCAGCTGACAATTATATTCTCGTTCACACAAGAAACAATTCAATTTGCATTATTATTATTATTATTATTATTATTATTATTTACCATATCGCTAATTCATCCCCCTTTTATCCCCAATTTGTGTAACCTTACTTTTCATCTTATGCAGCAGCTCGCTCTTGGTGGAAAATCTGTCCTATCTAAACGATCTCCAGTCACTGTCTTGTTGAAAGTGAATGCTTCCACCGATTATGAATACTGAAACAGTCTTTCTAAAACCACGTACGCCGTTCAAGCTGGCTTCCTTCAACGTTCGCACACTAATGCAGATCAGACAACAGATAGGGCTGGCTATGTCTTTGGAAGGTCTTAATGTTGACGTTTGTTGTCTATCCGAGACCCGCATTCAAGACTCTAGTGAAGTACTATAAATCCGCTCTCCATCTGTCGCCTCGAAAAGCTTGTTTCACGTGCGCTTATCCGGGGACCCTGTGGCATCTTCGTCTGGTCTTGCTGACGTTGGTGTCGCACTAAGCGCTAGGGCTGAGGCAGCACTAATCGATTGGATCCCCATTAACAGTCGGTTATGTGCTGTTAGATTAGAAAGTTCCATCAAAGTGAGAAGAAATCGGCGTGAGAAACGGTGTCTTTTCGTCATCTCCGCCTATGCTCCGACAGATTGCAGCCCGGATGCAATCAAGGATGAGTTTTACCATCAGTTAACAGTTCTTCTCCAGAAAGCGCGTTCGACGGATATTGTAGTACCAGCCGGAGACTTGAATGCACAGGTCGGGCGTCTAGGCACAGAAGAGAGTCGTTTAGGTGGCCGATGGGGACTTGTTGGTCGCAGGACAGATAACGGGGACCGTTTGCTGCAACTGTGCACAGACCACAACCTGTTTCTGGCTAGCACTAACTTCCGGCACAGTCATCGCCGGTGTGCCACCTGGCGTCCTCCCTCTGCATCCCAAGCCTGGGCTCAGATTGATCACATCGCGATCAGCTACCGCTGGCGTGGTTGTGTACAAGACTGCCGCTCCTTTTGGAGTACCTATCTGGAGTCTGATCATGCCCTGGTCTGCGCCAATCTTACCTTACTTTTCAGTGGCCGAAGGATTGACCACCACCAACGGATCGATGTTAGTAAACTGGCTGCAACATCTGTTGCAAGTAAGTATCGAGCGGAGCTAGCCTCTAGGCTAGCTACCATCCCACCGAAAAGTATAGATGAGCATTGGTTGCATCTTCACGACACCATGAAAATGGCGAGTAAAGCCGCTTGCGGCTTCGCGAAACGTCCCGCTTACAAGCACTGGGTTTCTTCTGGCTCCTTACAACTCATCGAAGCCCGTCGGTCTACTCCAGGTGACCGTGAGTAGGACCACAAACGAAGGCTGTTACGTAATGAAATTGGGCAAAGCCTGCGCAAGGACCGAGAAGCCTGGTGGTCGGAGCGTGCTAATGAGATGGAAGCAGCAGCTGCATCTGGTAACTGCCGGAAGCTCTTCCAACTCATCCGAGCCACTGGCAGCAAGAAGTCTGGTGTGAGTGAAACAATCTACGAGGATGACGGGATGCCAATCACTAACATCTCTCGACGTCTTGGACGATGGGCTGAATTTTTCGAAGGGCAGTTCAATTGGCCTGCTGCTCCGGCAACATCAACCAGCTTGTCCTGCCCCCCATGGCCGGTGACGACTGATCCACCAAACGGGGCGGAAGTCCGCAAGGAACTCCAACTCTTGAAACGTTACAAATCACCTGGCCCAGATGACTTACCTCCGGCTCTTTTTAAAGATGGTGGTGACTTTCTGGCTAAGGAACTGACTGTGTTGTTTACAAAGGTTTGGGATGAAGAAAGTGTCCCAACATCATGGAATAAGTCGATAGTCGTCCCTATCTTTAAAAAGGGCTCACATTGTTCCTGTGATAACTATCGGGGGATAAGTCTTCTTCCAATTGCGTCCAAACTATTGGCTTCTATCATTCTTCGTAGGTTGTTTAAAACCCGAGAACGATTGACTCGCGAGGAGCAGGCTGGTAGCTATATAAGTGCTGGTGGTGGCGTGAGTGATGAGATTGATGCACGTATAATGAAAGCCAGAGCAGCTTATGCCAATCTGGGCCATCTTTGGCGCCTTCGTGATGTTAGTCTGGCTGTAAAAGGTCGGATCTACAATGCGTCGGTGAGAGCAGTTTTGCTCTATGCTTGTGAAACCTGGCCTCTCCGAGTTGAGGATGTTAGACGTCTCTCTGTGTTCGATTATCGTTGTCTCCGAAGGATTGCTGACATTCAGTGGCAACACAATGTTAGTAATGCAGAGGTTCGGCATCGTGTGTTCGGCGCAGAGATGATAATTCAATTGGTGTCACCATCTTGAAACACCGACTTCGGTGGCTTGGACATGTTTTACGAATATCGTCCCAGAGGCTTCCACGTCGTGCATTATTTGCCGACCCTGGGACTGGCTGGAGAAAGCGGAGAGGAGGTCAGTGTATGACATGGTGTCGTGGCATGAAAGAAAGCTGCAAAGGGCTAGCTTCTGTTGGTCGTTCACGACTCCCTGGCTGGGGTCCGAGATGGTGCAACACAGTGGCTAGAGACGTTATCAGATATGGCTCAGAATAGAAGCCAGTGGCGAGGCTGCTGTACCCTTCTTCTACTTTCTGCATAAAGAGTGGCTATAACTTTCCTAACTGAGAGAGCTCTTCTGGTTGTACATTCAGTTCCCCCCAACATTACTCTTCTCCTTTTCTTTTTTTCCTCCTTTTATATATACGCATCTTCTTCCTTCTCCCATTCTCATTATTTTGTGTGGCGCATATGTATCCGGTGCCCTTTGTACCAATATATATGTGATTAAATAAATAAATAAAATAAATAAATCATGATCACGTTACACGAGTAAGTACATAAACAATGAGCCTTAGTTTAAACTGTTCGATAAACTATAAAGTGACTACGTTATTTCAGTCTGAGTGGAAGTTGGTGGTTGATGTGGATTACCGACAGCACAAGTAAAACAGGGGAGTAAGAATCAGGGTTTGAACCTATTTCTACATTACAAACAACACAACACAGTAAACTTTTTTCAGAGAACAAATGAACAACAATGAGTGAAATCCATGGCTGACGGAAAATACAAAGCACAAACTTATGAGTACAGCGAAAAAGATATGTTGAAGGTAAGCACTAATTTGAAAAGTTTATTACTTGAAGACAAAAATAATATAATCGAATAACGTATTTTAAAACCAATACCTGAAGATATAACTGGACAGCCAAAATGGAACGCCGATGTATTGATCGGTCAACTAAAGGTTTACGATGTTTAGGCTTACGGAACTTTCGCTTTCCTACATCTAATTCAACGATGTCAACATTATCCACCACATCTACAGAACTGTCCAATTGTTTAGAAATTACAGTTGCCATTTGGGCTGTATGGGTAATATCATGGTGGTAAATCAGTGGACGTTCACTCAAAGATGGTGTGTTTACTAATTCAAAAGCACCACCAAATCGTGCTTGCCTATACAAATAAAATAGAATTGGAGAGTCATCATAATTACGTCATATATTTCAAAATGAAACAAACCAATCTGTGACTAGGAAACAAACGACTTATACTGTAAAATTTTTTCAAAATTAACAATATCTACAGAAATTTATCAGCCTATTTATTTCGTCTATGAACATTTTATTTTCAGGTTAAGTATCCAACAGTTGATGTAGTTGACCAATCTAGTGGCGATGTTTCTACGGTTAAACATTAAAGAACGCTAGGTAAGTGTCATGATTAACAGTCATTTATTGCTAGCCAACATATATTGTTTTGTAACGATGGTTATTTGGTTGAGGAGTTCGACTCTTAGTCACTCAGTCTCTCGTTCAAACCCCGATCCACCTACTTTAGTTTGAGCGCCTGAGTAGTATCACTAGCCCTTATACTTAAAGTGTGGTTTATATCCGAGTACCTAGAGAATGAGTTAGTTTGATTCTAATTGCTTCATTGTCAGGTTTTGTAATACTTTTTGCATTTGTATTGAAACTTAATGGTTTTTGTTTGATAACAAAATCAATCATTTAGTATGTAAAGTTACTTGACGATAATAATAGTTTACATTAGTTGAAAGTATGGAATTACAGGTGATTTCATAGAGAGCATTGTTTAACAACTATATTTTAAAAAATGGAGTGGTGAGTAGTTTACGATATGGTTCAATAAGACAATGATTCGTATAGCTTGATAAAAATGGGGTTCACTTCTACCTAGTCTTTCTTTATATAAAAAGATATTCAGTCAAAACTATGATATGCATATTACTGTGAAGTACATTTAAAAACTGAATGTTATACAACACCCATTTTGTTTTATCTATACGAGCACAACACGAAATCTGGTTCAGATAGAAATGAATAACTGTAAACAATATTTAACGCTGATAGCCACAAGACAAATCATATCTTGTGAAATGTTTTTTGAGAAACACAAGTACTTGAATGTCAATCGGTAAGTTGCTCTAAGCCAAGCCCATTTGATATGGTTTGGATACCGAACAAGACTTCTAGACTTCATATAGAGAATCTAGCTTAATATCTGATAAAAAACCTGTATGTGGTTTTTGACTGATTTGGTTTTCCATTCCATGTTATTATCTTATTTCTATAAAAATAATGAACAATATAAACAAACTTTAGTGAGTTTTATGATGAAAGACTAAATACAATATCAAACACCACGAAACAAAAAATTAATAGTGCCATTGCTTGGCACATGAAATAAATTTACATCAATAACATTAAGCTACTCACCTTAGGTTACAAGCGTAAAGAAAATTCTTTCGTTCAGCATCATCCCGAATTTTCAATCTTTCAATAAGTCTACACCATTATTTTCTATTAAAAATAACTGAAACATACTTTCTCCGAGTGTTTAACTCAGATTTAGTTTCTGCTTTGTTTCCAGCACAGGCAAGTAACTCAGGTGTCTATGGAAATGAAGAGAAATATTTGGATAAATTCTCTGGTGTTTAAATCAAAATAAATTGCATACAAATGGTAGCTGTACTTACAAGCTACAGAAAATTTAAGTTAATTATTGCGAAGTATTACTTATTATGCACTAATCGTCATAGCTAGATTTTCGCTGAATAACATAAAGCTTCTGTAACAATTTAGTTCTCAATCTTTTGTTCCCTTATTCAACGTGAACGGAAGCGACAAGTTTTATTATATTTCAGTTGATCAATATCCGTGATCCTAGATGATAACCGAAATTAAGAACTTTTAAAGAGGTCGACAAACTGACTCATCAGTCCAAATATACTGATCTGACCCAATTCTTATGACTCTATAAGTTGAAAGATTACGGATACAAAGATGGTGAATATAGGACAAAGATGAAACTGGTTATCACCTCGAACAAGAAAATGAGGACTAACAGTGTTAGATTTCGTTTCTGAATTGCTCAAACATCTATAAAAAAACTCAAAACATTTCACCGTTATAATGTTTGAGCAAAATTTAAAGAATAAAATATTTGGTCCTTCATGATGTAGATATCCACAATTTCTTTGTTAGACCTCCCTTTAGAAGTTGTGAAATAATAACTTAGACGTTTGATACTAAGAAGAAAAGGTGACAGCTTTCAATAAATATTTGCTTTTTTAAAATTCAGTTGATATAATGTAACACTTTTTATACAGGTCTCTATGTCTAGCCAACAATAAAACATTCATTTATTCATCAATTAATAAAACTTTCATCCATAAATAGGCAAAAGAAAACTATCGTATTGAGAATTTTCTTGGTGAACACTTGATTAGAGTTTATCCTGAGACATTTTATCGTCCCCAGTACACATTAAAAGTATATGGATACAAACATGATTTCTTTGAAAAAAGAACTTTTTCTGTGACTGAAATTGAGTTGCTACATAGAGTAAAACTAACCTGTTCCCTTAACATCAGTGATATGATTTCAAGAGTATGAAAAGCGAACATTCGTTCATCATCTGAATTTGCAAGAAACAAAAGTAGTTCATCCCACCCAGACAAATGCATTGCCCATAAAATCTGGTCATGTACAGAAACATCTTCGTCTGTACGCTGAAGTAAATTTGTATTAACATGACAAAGTCAACTACCTGCTCGCCAACAACATCAGGAGCGATATGAAGTACATTACGTATTAAAATCAAAATACGTTCAATGAGAAGACGATCTTCTTCACTCCTTTCCTCCCAACTCTAAAAATAATATAAAAGGTATGAAGTAATTAGTTCGTGAGCATTAAACTGAATAAAGAGGTAGTCGCATATTAGATACAAAATTACAAGTCGTTTATTACAAGTTCAAAACCAGTGCTTCAAGACTAGAAGATATGACCTGAAAATCAGTCCCAGTAGAATAGATGGATTTATTTTCGATATTCACTTGAACCTCTTATAGTTTCACAATAATCAACACATACTTTAAAGATAAAGATGACCGAATGTTTGAAACATGTGCACGTTCTAAACCTTGAAGATCAATGCTTACATCCTTAAAAATAATACGGAGCGGATTATCGTGGAACATGATCAAGGTGTTTATCTATTCTGATGAACTTATTTGGTCAGCCATCATATGAAAAGATAAGTTTGTGTGTCTAACCACAAGTAAAGCAAATTACAAAGGTCATTGAACTTATGAGGAATGAGTAATTTATTTGCTAGCCATCTAGTTAAACTCAACATAGAACCTGACACGAATGTTCTAGTTGCCATACCCCATTAGGACAGAGAGATGAAATTGTTAAGGAAAATCTCAGAGTAGCAGAGATGGTAACAGAAGAGACTAGGCATCAAAAACAAGATCCGAAAAACATAAATTAGTGAAATAGAAACATTATGAGAAATTTAGAAACTTGGGTTTTAGGAGAAGACAAAGTATGGATGAACTTACGCTATTACAAACTATTCTGAGCCACATCACCCACTGGCTCCAATAATCACGCGGACCCCAACCAGGCAGTCTGTATCTGAGCATTTCACACACAATTTACTCATTTTCCTACGGTATCAGTTTGAAAAAAAAACTCACATATACACTATAATACTGCTATAACGTATCTAAAATGATTACGGGTTTGATTATATCATTCTACGAGGTAGGTGGAACAATGCTCAAACTTCCTACTAATGACTGAGAATCTATGTCTTAAACCACTGACCTCCCGAGTAGTAATAACAATAGTCAATTCACGTAATAAAAACATCAGTACAACCGTGTAAGCTGGTTTAGGGAGGTTTAAATTTTTTGTTCCGTGATCTCTCTCCATATATATATATATATATATATATATATATATATATATATATATATATATATATATATATATATATATATATAAATGTACAGAGAATCCGAAATATCATTTCAATTATTGGTGAAAATTCAGTTAATTGAAAAGTTTGGGCATGAATAATAACTAACAAACACAAAGTACAACTTACCCTATCTAACAAACTGCCTACCAAATTGCACAAAACCCGGAACAACTCTTCGTCTGCAAAGTCCTAAGGTTTTATCCATGTACTTTTAATGCCACCTACTTTTTTGTATGACTTCAGTAAATCATCAACCTGGAGATAAGCACTGTAAAGATCACGATCCTTTGGTATCTCTTGACGAAAACATACAATTGCAGGTTGAGTCAAATTCATAAGAAGACGAATGACCAGTTCGAACAATGTTTTATTACCGCTACAACAACGGAGAAGAGGTATGAGATCACTGGAAACAATGCGGAGTTGACCAAGTTCTCGTCGTATATCACATTCAGCAGTTTCATTTCGTAAGTAACGCAATAAAGTGCGAATGGAAACTATAAATGAATTCAATAACATGCATAAATACCTTCTGCATCAGTATCTATCTTGTATGTATCACCCTCACGAAATCCAAGACAAGAGCAACAGGCTTGAATATCCGCATAACGAAGAGTTGGATCGGCCAACATTGCATAAAATCAAAAACCTAACCAAATCTAACAAAGTGAGAATAGTGTTCGTCTTGTGAGATAAAATATGCATTGACCATAAGTACACTGATATTAAACCATACCAATACCTGTGAGCAACCTAACCACGAAAACCTGGAACTACAAAGTAACTAACCTACAACGAGAGTTTACAAAGTAAACTAGCTTGATACATTAAGTATGTGTAGGATCAATGAGAGTATCAGCAACATGCAATTATAACCAGAGTGTATCTAAAAAACTTTTTAGGTGAAAGCCAAACAATAGCAGATATAACGGGAAGAAATAAGATGATTTGCGGTTTATAGGATTTTGTGAGGTAACTAGAGAATAGCTAGAGAAATCTATGAGTAATTAACGCTATGTGGATAGACAAACAAATGACTACCGCTACATTTCTTCTTCGGAACAAACTAAGAAGAACCTCGTTACGTATGTTATAATACATATAACATTTCTGAAGCCAACTTGAAGTGTGCATAAAGGTAAGAATATTTGTATGCATAGGTTGATTCACATGTGTCCTAGAGAATTGCACAGCGATCAGTACGACTAATGCAGTAATGCTATTAATGAAGTAGTTTGGACTAAAATAAATGTAATCTGATAAGTTTCACTAACCTAACTAATTACAGTAGTAGTACACAAAAGTGTCAAGTGAGGAACTGCTGAAGCAAAGTGAAAAAGAATACGAGAAAGGAAAACTTATGTATACTGGTTGGACAATGGAACAACTATTACGGAAGGTTTAGACAGTAGAGAATTGTGAGGTGGATAAGTAAAGTGGTGCTAAAATGTAGAGTCCATATGACGTCCCAAAAACCAAGTTAAGAATATTCAGCTACCAATGTGGTGGAGCCAAGGGACCTAATGTTATGAAAAGCAAAGGATGATGCACATTTTTATTCTTGTTAGTTTCATAATTTCAGTTAACATTGCTACATCTGCCCTTGACCATGTAATCAGACCTCGTGTTCATCCTAATGATTAGGCTTGGCAAGGATAAGAAAAACTTTTATACAGTGGATTATAGGTTACATTGAATAAGTAGAAATTCACTAATTTGTTTTCCTTTATTCTGTATGGTCGTCTGAAGTGTATTTTACCGAAAGTGTTACATCCAGAATGAGTAATTTGCATGTTAACATTATCCCGCTACATAAACCTTTAGTGTTCTTAGTTGGCAGAACTTTATCTCTTCTCTTCACCTCCTTCAGAAGGTTATTAGATGATGGGAATGTCCTCGAACTCTCATCATATTAACCGGATAACAGTTAAAAATAAGTGCCAAAAATAATTTTAATTACTGATTAACAGGATAACCTGAGAACAAACAATGAATTACGTAGAATTCCGACCTATTGTCTTAAAAAAACTGACTGGAATGAGAGGTCTTACAGTTTGTGCTAAGCCTTGAAGAAACTGTCTTGAGAAATGAACTGCTTAAGTTCATGTAAGGGGTTTATACTTCAATTCAAGATATTGACTTCAATTTTTACTGAGAGTTCTCAGCCTTACTTGGTTAACAAGCAACATTACAGATTCGTGTACACAGTTTGAAGCGACACTTTCGCGAAGTACTTTTACTAAAAGGTTCCGTAGACAAGTAGACGGAGCAAATTTTGAGCCTACGATGCAGCACTGACCGTAACGCTGTGACAATAAACCACCAACATACACGGAACAAGAACTACAAAGTTGCGATTTTGCTGTTAAAGCATTTCTTTAGCACTAATCAAAAACAACAAAGGTGTAGGAAGGTAAATTCAGTCAGAATGTAGCTGGAACAACCAGCGATCAAAAATACAGGGTGAATATTTTAGTCTTCTTCTAAGTGCGAGAAAGTATTTTGAAGTGAACAAGCTACTAGCAGATCCCAATTATCAGGACATTAAGCTAATATTCAGACTGTGAAAAAGGGAGATTTTAGGCAATGCTTGCGGATGGTGTTCTAGGACATAAAATATGTTGTATGAATTTGTAGGTACTTGGAAATGTTTACCTCTAACTAAGTCACCTAAAATTACACTCAGGTGACCAGAAAATAGAGATTTCGTTACACATGTATTCAATAATCCGATTAGCCTAACATAAATAAAAGTGACAGCTGATTTCACATATGGCCGCTGTGTAACTTATGCAGACCTACACAGATATCCATATTTTTAGCAGTTAGTGTGTTCTAAAAAACACCTTTATAACAGCCAAAACAGGCATATATATCTGATCTTTGTGACGCTGACCAGCCAGTAAAAAGTGAAGCAAAGTATAAATAAACAGAACCATAACCACGATCCAGATCAATTTATCCACGTCTGAATAAAAAGGCTTCGAGCCACTAAAAATCCAGAAGTATCCCGCAAAAGTTAGCCGACCGACAATATATAAACCGGTCATTGAGTCCAAGTACAGTGTGAGACCGGTGAATCGTGAATCATATACTTTTCTGTTGATTTGAATATTATGTTGCAAGAACTAATTTAATTTATTATCTCGTTAGGGCATTTAGGTAATCAATAGCTAAATATTGAAAACGGTCTGAAATATGTCACTCAGATTTACAGATATTAATTTACATAGAACATTTAGTCGAGCTATTTAAAAAGGACAGTGGTATTTTTCCTCGTTGAGTAAATTCTATTGTTTTGATCGTTATTAACGTATCAAGACTACTGTTTTTATACTTTGATTGAATTTCTTTCAGTTAAAGTATTCGACTAGAGTATCATTTTTGGTATCCTAAATAGTTTTATCGTCGGTACTCCAGAGTACCTTGTTTTTCTATTGTATCTGTTAGTACTTTGGTCCTAACTATTCATAGTTTTTTTCGACTTGTAGTCAACACTCACTTTCTCATACTAAAATGACTGGAAGATGCAACAAAAGCATTTGCCACCGCCCAGGATGTCGATATCCTGTTGTCAGCGGCATGCAGTGCGATGAGTGCAAAGGTTGGTACCACGAAGTTTGCGCGAATCTAACACCTGCAGCTTTCAAGCGGTTCAGTAAAAATGGATGCATCTGGCTATGTCAACAGTGCTGTTTGGATGCAAATAGCCTGTTAACCGAGGCCATCTCAATAGTAAATGCCGCGAAAAAGTGTCTCGGCAAGCGCGATCGGGATACATCAGTCAGAACTCAATCTGTCGACACGCAGATTGACACAAGGCAGGCCCAAGTGAGTCCCAAAAATGCCGACCCACACTCTACAAAGGAGGAAGAACATCCTCCAAAGAGGTCTGTCACAACCAGAAACTCGCGCAAAAAAGTCTCTTCTGTCCCTCGTATCAAAAATGGTACCCAGAAGGGAACTTCCGGAAGCCGGAACCGCAAGGCTCGATCGGTTTCCAGTGCGAAAGATGACCCAATCTCCCAAGTCGTCCTGAACCTTCCGGAATCCCACAGTACGCCTGACGCGACTGTGGTTACCACTCCAACGAACGTTGGCGATTGGGTACGGATCGTAAGAAAAAAACGCCAAAATGACTTAAAAGGAAATCATACCCCCACCAAAAGGGTCGACAAGCCGAGGTCTGATCACAGCGACAGATCAGTCATTCTCCATAGAGTCAAGGAAAGTGACAGCTTAGAACCGAAAGCTCGTTTTGAGCATGACATTGTGTTGATAAAACAACTACTCAACCAAGTTATGCCCAAAAACATCCCAGGAGTCACCTTGCTAAAGGTGTATAGACTAGGAAACCTAGCGCATCTGAAACCAAATCAGTCTAGACTACTCAAAGTCGTTTTCAAATCCCCAAACGAACGCGACTTAATCTTAGAAAATGGACACAAATTAAAGGGTTCAGGAGTTTTTCTCCGTAAACACTTACCGTTGGCGGACCGTGTTAAAAGACAGGAAGCCGAAAAGGAACTACAGCTCAGATTAGACGCTGGCGAAAAAGACCTGAAAATTGTAAATTTTCGGGTTGTGAGGCTTCGACAGAGGATGATGCCGGAGCCACTCTGGGTGAAACACGAGGCCACCTAAATAGGCTTCGGATCTGTTATACCAATGCCCGGAGCTTACTTAATAAGCTACCGGAACTAGGTGTACGGAGCTTCGCTATTCCGGGAATCAGCCTAGTTGCTGTTCTCTGAACCCTTTCCAAGAGTTCGCTGTCTTTTTTAGGCAGGGGCTAGCTGCTTGTATGCAGTACTGAAGTTTAGGGCGTACGAACACTGTATACAAAGTCAGAAACGTTTTAGCGTCAAGATGCCTAAAAGCCCTGCGTATGGACCATAAAGTCCTAAAACCTTTGGCGGCTATTGCACGGCAGTGTGCAGTAGTCTTTAAGTCTTGACTAACGATGACGCCTAAGTCATTGTGTGCCTGGACAATAGGTAACTCAGTGTTATTCATCATGTATGTATCTGTACCCTGGTGGCCAATATGCATCACAATACACTTGGAAGTGTTTATCGGCAATTGCCAGGTTTGGGACCATTCAGATAATCTCTCCAGGTCATTTTGAAGTTCTAAGCTATCGCCCTTGCTTTGTATCGCTCTCCATATTTTGACATCATCAGCATAGAGTAAGACCGATGATGATAGATGAGGGAGGTCATTTACGTACAGGAGGAATAACACTGGCCCCAAAACTGTACCCTGGGGGACTCCACTAAGCACAGTTCCCCAGCTAGACAACTTGGAGTTTACCCTTACTCTTTGTTGACGCCCAACTAAGAAGTCTTTTATCTACATCAATAGATTGCCTCCAATCCCGACATTCCTTAGCTTATATAACAGCCGGTTATGCGGAACTTTGTCGAAAGCTTTGCTGAAATCGATGTAAGCTACGTCTATAGGTAATTTTTGGTCCTTAAGAGCGCACCAGCTTTCACGAGCGACTAATAAGTTTGTGTGACAAGAGTAACCTGTTCTAAAACCATGCTGCTTTTCGGAGAGGATCCGGTTTTCATCGAGATACTTTAACAGTTCCTTCCGAATAATCTTTTCTAAGATTTTAACAACCACA